CGTGAGCACGTGCATGTGTGTGCGTGCACATGTGTGCATGGGTACATGTGTGCGTGCATAGGAGTGTGTGGATGCATGCGTGTGTGTGCACGAGTGTGAACTTGTGTGAGAGTGTGTAAGTGTGCTTGTGGGTGTGTGTGAATGCATGTACATGTGACGTGTGTATGTGTGAGGGGCACTTGGTTAGGTCGGTCAGAAAAGGCTTCTTTGAACAGGTGGCACAGTTCAAGGTCTGGGAAAGCCATTCCAGGCGGAGCGGAGAGCAAAGGCCCTGGTGGCAGGAAGGGGCCAGAGTGTTGAAGGAATAGTCACTGGGGCTGGTTCTCCATTGTTATCCTTTCTCAAGTTCTAAAGGTGGGGGTGGGGGCTTCCAGATTCTGCAGGTGGAAGCTGGGGGTGGTGATGGGGTGGGGTAGAGATGCTTTAGCCTGAGACCCGGCCTCAGGATGGGGGTCCCTGGTGAACCTCCGCTGAGGCGGTCTCCTGAAGGTTTCATGCTGCAGGAGGGCCTTTCTCTTCCTTCCCTGCTGGCTCACCGTATGCCATTCCCCAGGAAGAAATTGGAAGGGGGTAGGGAGGGGAAACCACCCCACCTTGCAAATGTAAAAAAATGGAAAGAGGACATTAAAAATAGCGCAGCCTTGAGAAAGGCCCCTTGTCCGTGCTCTGGTGTCTGCCCCTCGACTTTCCTCTTGGTTGTGTGGTTGTTGTCAGCCGCCACTGAGTTGGCCCCAGCACATGACGACCCCACACACGCCAGAACAAAACTCTGCCTGGTCCTGCACCATCGCCAGCTTGGACTATGGGTCGGGCTGTTGTGATCCATAGGATTTTAAATGGCTGATTTTCAGCAGTAGATAGCCAGGCCTTTCTTCCTCCTCCCTCTTAGTGTGGAAGTTCCACTGAAACCTGTTCAGCATCATAGCTACACCCAAACCTCCACCGACAGATGGGTGTTGGCTGCGTATGAGGTGCATTGGCTGAGACTGGAACCTGGGTCCCCACGGGAAGCTGAGTGTTCTACCAGTGAACCACCATGCTCTTTTCCCTGGTTGGGTTTGTTTGTGTTTTCTCAGATGGCTGTTCTGGGACATATGCCACCTGGCCGAGCCCCTGGCTGTCTCCTGGCTGTCACTGGAGAGCCTCAGCACAGGCGTTGGGAGCTTTCCACATTTTTCTATTCTATGGAGCAGTTTCTGTAAGGCAGGCGCTGTCTGGTTCTTCAATGTTTTGTAGAATTTGCTTGTAACATGTCTGGGTCCAGTATTCTTTTTTTTAAGAGAACACAATCCAGAATGTTACTATTTTTGTAAAATTTTCCAAACAGCGTTTATCCAGGGGGATACCAGGATTGTGTGCCCAGTGGCCTCCGGGGGAAGCTGCAAAGCTGGCTGTGTGTGCTTGGATGTGGCTCCTCTTTCCCCAGAGCGCTCTGAATTTGTCAGGCTCGCCACCAGGGGGCGACATGTTATTAGTTGTTTTGGGCACACAACAGGCACAGCTCTTGCTCAAAAAGAATTTGGCCTCGTTTCCAGCACAAACTCCTTAACTTTAAGAAGATAATGCGTGCTTCCTCTGGTTTTGCGGGTCCAACTCAAAAAGGGTGCTCATATACTGAAATTAACACTTAGAATGAGAAAAGGAATCACAACAAATTTGAGATTTAAAGAAGCTGACAAATGCCTTAAACATCACCAAATCTAGAACAGTAACATCATTTTACTTAATTTCCCGAATTTCTCCCACCCCCATGGTGGGGTATTTCTGGCCACATACTCTGATTACTTCTTCATATGACAACAATTTTATAATTTTATTTTCTATGGTGAAATGAAGCCCTGGTGGCGCAGTGCTTAGGAGCTCGGCTGCTAACCAAAAAGGTTGACAGTTCCAATCCACCAGTCGCTTCTTGGGAAACCCCATGGGGCAGTTCTACTCTGTTCTGTAGGGTCGCTATGAGTCGGAATCCACTCGACCGCAATGGAGTTTTTTGGTTTCTGGAGAGAATGGAAAGCTATTTAAGCTTTTCCTTGACTGGATGCCTGAATGTTTTTTTAGTTGGTGGTTCTGCAAATCTGCATGGCCTTGCCGTGTAAAAGTTCAGATTTACTGAACAATCTGGAAAAATTCAAGTCAAATGTGTTCATATACGTGCCGTAAAATTTCAGGTCATCAACGTGTCTTGTTTTTTGTATAGTCTCTGATTTCATCACCACATCTGTCCACCAGCTTGTCATACTATGGTGGCCTGCGTGTTGCTGGGATGCTGGAAGCTAGGACACCGGTATTTCAAATACCAGCAGGCTCACCCATGGTGGGCGGGTTTCCGTGGAAGAAACACCTGGCAATCACAGCACAGGCGTTGGGGAGCTTTCCGCATTTTTCTAGGCTATAGTTTCTGTAAGGCAGGCGCTGTCTGGTTCTTGAAAGTTTTGTAGAATTTGCTTGTAACATGTCTGGGTCCGGTATTCTTTTTTTTAAGAGAACACAATCCAGAATGTTACTATTTTATTTTCCAATAAGAGCCCTTATCCTGGGGTGTACGAGGATTGTGTGCCCAGTGGCCTCAGGGGGACGCTGCAAAGCTGGCTGTGTGTGCCTGAATACGGCTCCTCTTTCCCCAGAGCGCTCTGAATTTGCCAGGCTCGCCACCAGGGGGCGACGTGTTGTTCGTTGCTCTGGGCACACAACAAGCACAGCTCTTGCTCAAAAAGAATTTGGCCTCGTTTCCAGCACAAACTCCTTTACTTTTATAAGAAGATACGTGTGCTCCCGAAAATCAGCCAGTGAAAACCCTATGGATCACAACAGCTTATCGTCCGATAATAGAGCTTGAAGATAAGCCCCTAGGTTGGAAGACAATCAAAATACACAGTGGCTGCAACATGGACTTTAGCATAGCAAGGACCATGAAGGTGGTGTAGTACCAGGCAGCATTTCATTCTGTTGTCGTGGGGTGACCAGAAGTCAGAGCCGAGGTGATGGCAACTAACAATCACAATCTAACTTGAAATACTCTTTTAATTAATTCATTGGTCAACCCATTTCTGACCGACGTTCTTGTGGTAGCGGCCTATTATTACGTTATCATTAAGAGTGTCATATTTCATGTCAAATCAGTTAGAAATTTAAGTCTTTTCCCAAAATATTTATGTGATTTACTATTGTTCATGAATCAGATTATCAAATAATTCGCGAGCCTACCCATTACTGCTATTTGAAATTTGTATCAAAAATGTATTCATTATTTCTTCATGAATTCTGCTATTGGTGTCATCTGAAAATTTTGCTACAGTTTGCATGTTGAGATCAGAATAATTTCCATTGATTTTGTTGTGTTTTTAATCAGATTTATCTCGTATCCAATTAATGTTCATGCAAATTTTATTTCAGTTCTTTAATATATAAGTTGTTTGTTTACTATTTCATTGTTCTAAAAATGTATATAGCACATCTGTGAAGACTGTGTGTAAATTTAAAGATGACAAAAGAATCTACACTTTATTTATACCCAATCCAAACAAAACAGAACAAAAGACCAGTTGCTGTTGAGTCGACTCCAACTCACGGAGACCCCACGTGTGCGGAGTAGAACGGCTCCTTGGAGTTTTCAAGGCTGTGACCTTTTGGAAGCAGATCGCCGTTATCAGAACTTTGTGCCCCTTCTGGTCACTACCCTGTTAAGAACTGCTATCCTGACTGTTAAAGGCATCGATTTTGTCTCTTTTGTATGTTGTATATAAGAATTCCTATAGTCTGTCCCTGGGTGGTGAAAATGGTTAACACACTCAGCTGATAACCAAAAGGTTAGAGGTTTGAGTCCACCCAGAGATGCCTCAGAAGAAAGGCCTGGTGATCTACTTCTGAAAAATCAGCCACTGAAAACCCCATGGAGCGTAATTCTACTCTGACACACGTGGGGTCGCCATGAGTCAGAGTTGACTTGATAGCAACTGATACGGATTATGGTCTGTGTCCTTCTGTCTGGTTTCCTTCCCTCGACATTATGTTTGTGGGATTCGCACTGCTGCATAGTATCCCCTGAGGAATACAGCTCGGTGGATTTTTCTTTTCTACCATCAATGGGCATTTGGGTGGTTTCTAGTTTTTGGTATTACAGCGTTTCGTGTTAGAGGTGTTGTTTTTTCATGTACATTAAAAAAAAAAAAAGTTCCTGATGAAGCTCACATGGAGTGGGGGATTCTTTTCTCTCTTTATATTTCTGTTGGTTGTGTGTTCGTAAAGACTATCGACTTTAGGCGTTAACTGTGCGCCCAGCCCTCTTACCGAATTACGTACGTTTTTAGTATTTTTCACTGGACTCTTGTTTCTTTCCAGATATGCAATTGCATCATCTGTAAATTATGACAGTTTTGCTTCCTTTTCCCAACTATTGTATTTTCTGTTTCATTCTGTCGTATAATTGCATTGGCTAATGCCACCAAAACAAGTTAAATAATAGTGAGGGTTACGTTTTAGTAAACATGGCCAAATTTGCCTTCCCAAAAGGAGGGTGCATCCACTTTGATTCCATCAACCATGCCAAGACGTTTCTGAATTTCCCGACAGGCTGTCTGTTAAAGAAGCATCACGGGGATGGTGAGTCCTTGGTCAGAGGCATTTTATTTACACACGTCACCAGCTGTAGGTGAAAGCAGACTAGGTCAGTCATAGAGAAGGTGTTGGGATGGGCCGGGGGTGGAGGAGGAGGAGAGTGGTGTGGTCCCTCCAGGGACCACAGGACTGCCCTTGCTGGGACTGAGCAGCCTCAGCTAAGCCCGATTCAGGATAGGGGTGGACTCTGGGGGCAGGTGCTGAGGGGACAATCACCACTGAAGAAAGACTGTTCTTCCTCAAAGTGAGTGACACAGGGGATCCTAGAGGGGGACAAATGGCCAGAGAGACTGGAGTTCTGGATAAGGACAGGTCCAGAGCTGCAATTTATGGCTCTGGGATGGGGCACTGGTCACTTCATGGAGACCTGGATCTGATGAACTCACCTGAGGTCTGTGGTCAGAGCCTCAGATCTTGCACTGGAGGCAAATGGAGACACAGCAGCTGCCCTGACAGCAGCCAGGTTTACAACAGCTGGACTGGCAGCAGCTGGGTTTGCTACAGCTGGACTGACAGCAGCCACAGGAACCACAGCCCCCCTTGCTGCCCCCACACGAGCCACAGCTGGAACAGGAACAGGCAGGCAGACAGCAGCACACGGGCTTGCAGCAGCACACGGGCACACAGCAGCTGGAGCAGCAGCCCCCACAGCCCCCACAGCTGCAGCTGCAGCCCCCACAGCTCCCAGAACAGCCACAGCAGCCCATGATCCTGGTGGGCTGAGGATGGGTTTGGTCAGAGGAGCACGTAGAGAAGAAGGTGTTCAGGTGTGGAGCCTCCTGTGCCAGGAGCCCTTATGTCCCTGCCCAGGGGTCAGGTGTGATGGGGACACACGGTCCCTCCCTGGTTCCTGCTTGTGCCATTTCTCTAGGGCCATGTCTTGTTTGTTTTTGTAAATCCATTGATTCCTATTGGTTTAATCCAACATACACCGTCTTAGAGTTCTATATTTGGCCTCTTCCCCACCCTGCTTATCTCCAGTACAAATAAATAGCTCCTGGATTCAGGTGTTCCTGGTTATCTCGGGGAGCTGGCCATTGCCTCTCTTTGACCACGTGTCATACCAATCGTTGGAGAAGAACATCATACTTGGTAAAGTAGAGGGTCAGTGAAAAAGAGGGAGACCCTTTGTGAGATGGATTGACACAGTGGCTGCAACAATGGGCTCAGCCATACCAACATCATGACAGTGGTGCAGGATCGGGCCCTGTTTCCTTCTGTTATACATGAGGTCTCCATGAATCAGAGTCAACTTGATGGAAACCAACGGCAACAATTGATGGATTAGGGAATCTTTTCCAGCTTTCCTGAATGTGCTATACTGATAAATTTCCCCATTATTCAATTTCAACAGTTTAATGTTAAAAATTAGGCCTTAGTTAAATAAAAGAGAAGAAAACAAATTGCCCATAATCTCACTCCCTAGAGATGGCCACTGTTGACATCTTGGTTGGTTCCATGCAATTATCTCTGGCTCGTAGACATCTCTCACGGTCTGTTTATTATTCAAGGTTATCTGTGGTTTTCAGCACTCTGGGGTATACTTTCCTTACTTTTCAAATAAGAACAACCTGAGTCTCTATCCTGGTGAATATGAGATGTTTCTTTCCAACCCCGATTGTATTCACAAATCCCCAGGGCATGCTTTGTGGTCCACAGATCTGGGCTGGCCGCTGCTCCTCAACTCTCCCTCCATCACCCCCAAGACTCCTCCCAGGCCCTTCTGCCATTATTGGGGTGCTCCATGCTCCTGGCAGAGTGGCTCCCCCTCTAGGTACACCTCACTGAGTCTAGCATCAGGAGGCCCTGGGTGGTACAATGATGCATGCGCCTGGCTGCTAACTGAAAGGCTGGAGGTTAGAGTCCACCGGAGATGCCTCAGAAGAAAGGACTGGAGATCTACTTCCAAAAAGGCAACTGTTGAAAACCTTGTGGTGGAGCACAGCTCTACTTTGACACACATGGGTTTGCTAAGAGCCAGATGGACTTGATGGCAACTGGTTTATGGTTTCAGGTGGAGTTTGCTATGAGCATTCATGGAGAAGGAAGGAGAAGGAGCCCGATCTATGGATGGACCTGCACTGGAAGTGGATGTCTTCTCCACTATGACCCCACGGAGGGTTATCTCTGAGAGGCCATGTGCAGGGACATCCCACCATGGGTAGCATTTTGGCAGTCTACTGGCTCCTTCCTTTTGTGTGGAAGGAGAGGTGGCTTTACGATTCCTGAGCAGTGGCTCCTCGGTTGTCTGGCTGGTCAGTCTTGGAAAGAACACGATTGGAAGCTTGGTGGAAAAGAACAGGCACAGAGCGTGCAGGTATTCAAGTCTGACATCAATGCCCCCCAGAGGGTGTCCACTTCTGAGAAGGCCACCCATAACCAAGGGGACAAGGCGAGCCATCCTGGGGGTGCCAGTCACCCTCTTTTTCCAGTCACCCCAGGGCGTGCTCAACAGGCTTTTGTGCCAGGTGGCCATGGAAGCAGAGGTGGAGCCAACGCTTCGGCTCAGCCTCGTGGATGTCTCCTCACCAAGGCTGACCTGGCCTTCTCCAAGCCCTAGATGGCTTTTGCATTGGCCAGACAGGAGAGTTAAATGGGGGTGTGATAGGAATCATACTCAGTGTCTTCAAACCTTTGGTTGTGGCACTAGTTTCTGAATTTGCTTAGAGAAGGAGTATAGCTTTTGGTTCACTGCTTGTGTCTGTGTGTGTGTGTGTGTGTGTGTGTGTGTGCGCGATGGGATTCTCTCACTCACTTATCTATTTCCATTAAGTATATATATGGATTTTTTTTTCCAGAAATAACCACCAGATAGGCCCACAGGTCCACTGGACCCACTGTGAGAAAGTCAAGCCAAGACTCCACCCATCCCCTGACTTCCACAGAGCCTCACTCTGGCTAGTAGACTACAGTGGTATTTTGGGACACAGTGGTTAAGAGCTACAGCTGCTAACCAAAAGATCTGCAGTTCAAATCCACCAGCTGTCCCTTGGAAAACCCCATGGGGCAGTTCTAGTCTGTCCCATAGGGTCGCTATGAGTCAGAGTCAACTCAATGGCAACAGGTAAGGATCAACATCAGTTCAGGGCTAACACCTGATAATCCCCCAGAATATCAGGGTCTATCTTTTCCTCGTGTGAGTCTAGGCTGCAGGTCCCTCTGAGGGAGGCATAATAGAAGATTTATGGCAGATCTCAGTGGCCATCTTGCAGGTCCTTCCTCAGAGGAGCCCAGCCTCCCAGGAGTTCAGTGGGCTCTGGATCTGTAAACTGGCTAAGGTTAAGGAACCTGGTCAGCGGCTGGAAATCCCCACCATGGCGATTTGAGTCATGTTTCTGCCCACCAGACCCAGTGGTTTCCTTCTTGTATAGATGAAGCACCATCTTAATAGGCTTCTCACCCCACCGATTAGTTAGCCACTGCCACATGTCTCTGCAAGGGGGACCTTGCTTACTTTGGACAAGTCATCAGGAAAGACCAATTGTTAGAAAAGGACATTGTGTTTGGTAAAGTGGAGGGTCAGTGAAAATGCGGGAAACCGTGAGATGGATTGACACAGTGGCTGCAACGATGGGCCCAAACATACCAGTGATCAGGAAGATGGCGCGGGACCTGGCAATGTTTCGTTCTGTTACGCATAAGGTCGCTATGAGTCAGAGTCAACTTGATGGCAAGATAGAACAACAAGGACGCATCACATTGTCACACTTTCCTTGCAGCTTATTATGGCGATTGGGACTCTTGTCTCTGACAGCTAAGTGCTGGCATTTGGCCCTCACCACTCTCGTTGTTAGCTGCTGTTGAGTTGGCTCCAACTCTTGGCAACCCCATGTGTAACACAACGAAACATTGCCTGGTGCTGGACTGTCTTCACAGTCGTTGGTGTGCTCAAGTCCGTGGTTGCAGCCACTGTACATTTTGAGTGCCTTCCAATCTAGGGGGTCATCTTCCAACACTATTGGACAATGTTCTGTTGTGATACATAGAGTTTTCACTTTCTAATTTTCCAAAGTACATCATCAGGCCTTTCTTCCTAGCCTGTCTTAGTCTGAAAGCTCTTCTGAAACCTGTCCACCATGCTGGTATTCAAAATATCAGTGGCATAGCTTCCAGCATACAGCAACACGCAAGCAACCACAGTACAACAAGCTGACAAGACGCCTAATTCCATAATGGTATCTCCCACTGTCATCTCCATCCGATGGAGGACAGCCACCGGAGAGCTTTTCAAGGATGCTGCAGTCCTCCCCACCCATGTGTTTCTTAATCCCTTGGTGAAGGAAGTGTTCCTCTGACTCTACAAAGTAGTATGTTTCAGGGGAGGCTGGACAGCTTGTACTTTACAATCCATGTCAACACTGTCATATCCCTGAACCTTGGACTCCTTCCTCTACATTAGGGGTTGGCCAACTATGGCCCTGGGTAAATACAGCCCAACGCCTGTTTTTGGTAAATAGAGTTCTGTTGGAACACAGTCGTTTATATATTAACTACGGCTGCTTTTGAAAGGAAGGCCTGATGATCTGCTTCTGAAAATCAGCCAATGAAAACCCTATGGATCATAACAGGTCGATCCCATTATCCACGGGGTCACCATGAGTCAGGGGTAACTCAACGGCAGCTAAAAACAACAACATGGCTGCTTTTGCACAAAAAAAGAAAAAAAAAAGAACCAAACTCATTGCCATTGAGTCAATTCCAACTCATAGAGTAGAACTGCCCTATAGGGTTTCCAAGGAGCGGCTGGTGGATTCAAACTGCCAACCTTTTGAGTAGCAGCCCATCTCTGAACCACTGCACCGCCAGGGCTCTGCTTTTGCGCTACTACAGCAGAATCGGATAGTTCTGACAGAGGCCCAAAGGCCTGCAAAACCTAGAATATTTACTCTCTGGATCTTTACCAAAAGCGTTTGCCAACTCCAGCTCTGCAGTGTGCCAGGGAAGTTCTGGGAATTTGACCTTACTGACTCTAGACCACTTTTGTAGAGTCTGGGACTCAGTCACCCAATCTAGCAGACTAAATACCAATCCAAATGTTTGAGCTGATCCCTTAAAACTACAGTCCTGGGTCGGCGCAGCCACAGACACATTTGGCTTGACATTTCCTTCTTTGTTATCCTTTCTCATGCTGGCTCTTGTTAAGATGGCAACGTCCTGCACGTTCTTTGGGGTTCATGTTGTTCCCTCCCAGGACAGGTTGCTTCCTCTCCATCCGCATGGCTGCTGTCGTTACTCACCGCCCTTGAGTTGGCTCCCGCTCACGGTGAGCTGACGTGTAAGAGGGCGATGACACATTGCCCGGCCCCTTGCCACCTCACAATGGTTGGTGTGTTTGAGCCCATCGTTGTGGCTATTGTGTCAGTCCGTCTCACGGAGGGTCTCCCTTGTTTTTGCTGACCCTCTCCTTTGCCAAATGTGAAGTTCTTCTCTAGCGACTGGTCTTTCTCGATGACGTGCCGGATGTAAGCAAGCTGAAGTCTCGCTGTCTTTGCTTCTAAAGGAACATCTCTGTTGTAATCTGCTCTACTGGGTGCTGAGTCATTGTGTGCCTGGGGGTGAGGGGTCCTGCTGGAGAGGCAGCTTCTCCAGGCGAAGGCATTGGAGGGTTTTTGTATGAGCGAAGTCTGCTTACCTCAGCTGTAGGTGGGTGATCGTTGGGGGTGGTTAGGGCAGGCAGGAGAGGCTGTTTCTACCAACAGAGAAGGTTCAGGGAAATTTATGGATTCTAGATTCATCTGTGTCTGCCCAAACGATCTCATCCCAGAAGTTTCAAAGTCTTGCTCCTTCCAATGAGCACTCTTACTTCATTAGAAGAGACTGATTGTGGGGTTGTGCATATTGAATTCCTGTTACAACCCTGTAACTCTTACAGCCAGGCCCTGGCCAGGCGGCCACCAGAGGGCTCTGCACTTCCACAGCGTTTCAAGTTGAGAACTCAGATCTTGGATTTGTAACTTACTTCTTCTAGTCTCCAGGACAGTCAGAAGCAGCCATCCTAACCCACACATTTCTTTAAGTGCTATAAAAATATATGTAACACATCGCTTGCCAATTTAACGTTTTTCATGCCTCCAATTTAGCGGACTCAATTACGTTAATCATATTGTGCAGCCATCACCAATATCCGTGCCAAATTACCAACACCATAAACAGAAGCTCACTGCTTCCTAAACACTGACTCCTCCGTCCCCCTGCCTCCTGCCCCCCAGTAACCACTAAAAAACGTTCATCTCTACATGTTTGCCTATTCTAGCTATTTCACGTGAGTGAGATCATGCAATATTTGCCCTTTTGTGATTGACTTACCTCACTCAACATCACGTTTTTGAGGTTCATTGTAGCATATATCAAGGCTTCATTTCTCTTTATAGCTGAGTAATGGTCCACTGTATGTATACACCACATTTTTTTTTCTTTTTTAAATTGTACTTTAGATGAAGGTTTACAGAACAAATAGTTTCTCTTTAAAGTCAGTGCACATTGTTTTATGACATTGGTTAACAACCCCATGACATGTCAACATTGTCCCTTCTCAACCTTGGGTTCCCTATTACCGGTTTTCCTGTTCCCTCCTGCATTCTAGTCCTTGTCCCAGGGCTGGTCTGCCCCTTTAATCTCATTTTGTTTTATGGGCCTGTCTTTGGCTGAAGGGTGAACCTCGGGGGTGACTTCATCACTGAGCTAAAAGGGTGTCTGGGGGCCATACTCTTGGGGTTTCTCCAGTCTCTGTCAGGCCAGTAAGTCTGGTCTTTTTTTGTGAGTAAGAATTTTGTTCTACATTGTTCTCCAGCTCTGTCCAGAACCCTCTGTTGTGATCCTGGTCAGAGCAGTCAGTGGTGGTACCTGGGCACCATCTAGCTGTACTGGACTCAGTCTGGTGGAGGCCGTGGTAGCTGTACTCCATATTTTTTTTATCCATTTGTCTGTCGATGGACATTTAGGTTGTCTCTTTCTCTCTGCATGTGGACACACACACACACACACTCACACATACACTCACACTCACCCACACCCACACACTCACATACACACTCACACACACATACACTCATGCACGCACACACACACTCACACACTCACACACTCACACACTCATATTCATCTTTGGTGTAGGAGGACTCCAGACTCTGAGAACTGGAAGAGGCTCAGTGAGCCGTGATCGGGACAATGACTTCTCTGAGGGCCTGATTGTCTTCTAGGAGGTCAAGGAAGAGCTGAGGGATTTCCCCGTCTGTTTTATTGAAAGCCTTTAAAATGTAAATCAGTTGCCATCGAGTTGACTCCGACTCATGACGACCTCATGGGTGTCAGAGGAGAACTGTACTCCATCGTGTTTTCAATGGCTGATTTTTTGGAAGTAGATTGCCAGGCCTTTCTTCTGAGGTGCCTCTGGGTGAACTTGAACCTTCAACCTTTTAGTTAGCAGCCGAGAGCTTAACCATTTGCACCAGCCAGGGACTCCCCAGAGAGAAGGGGAGGTGTTGCAATGACTGGTTAACCAGGAGCAGTAAGACAAGACTCACGTTGAGGACAGAACTCGGAGGGGGAGGGCATTTATTTAAAGGAATCACAAGGTCAAGGATGGACCATAATAGACAGAAATTTCAAAGAATGGCAGCAGGAGCCTTCCTCAGGGAGAGGAGATGAGCTTAGAACATTCCCGAAGAAGGAGGTGATCTAGGAGAGGAGGCGATGGCTGGGAGGGGGATATGCTCCTCACTCAGGCCTTGGAGCATGCTATTCATGTGTGAACACCCCTGCTTCCACACTGCAGAAAGTAACCTGCCGAGAGCTGTGACTCAGGGGTTAGGGTCAAGGGCTGGTCTTTGGACAAAGCATCTGATCTGCAGGAGCCACTAGAGGTGTGTGTCAGAGTCTCAGATCTTACACTGGCAGCAAACAGGACACAGTAGCTGGACTGAGAGCAGAATCGTCCACAGCCTGAAGAGTAGCAGCTGGGTTTACAGCAGCTGGACTGACAGCAGCCACAGGAGCCACAGCCCCCCTTGCAGCCCCCACACGAGCCACAGCTGGAGCAGGAACAGGCTGGCACACATCAGCACACAGGCTTGCAGCAGCACACAGGCACACAGCAGCTGGAGCAGCAGCCCCCACACCCCCACAGCTGGAGCCACAGCCCCTGCGGCCCCCAGAAGAGCCACAGCAGCCCATGATCCTGGTGGGCTGAGGATGGGTTTGGTCAGAGGAGCAGGTAGAGAGGAAGGTGTTCAGGGGTGGAGCCTCCTGTGCCAGGAGCCCTTATGTCCCTGCCCAGGGGTCAGGTGTGACTTCCTGGTTCCAGTTTGTGTCATCTCCCCAGGGAAATCTTGCCCTTCATACATCTGTTTTCAGAAATGTTGTTCTAATTCACCAGCTTCATTGCAGCACAGGACTTGCTTCCTGATCTCCCCGGTCAGCTCTGCTACCTAGTGGATTGCATATCCTTCTCATTTTTGGTTTTGCCTTTGTCTTTCTGAAGGATCACCAGGAACCTTCAAATGTATGTTGGCCTTTTTTGGGCCCCTCAGTTTCTCTGTTGCTCTCATGCCTGGCTTTAGGGATCAGAGGTCTCCCTACACTGACGTACCTCCAACACTCCACCCTAGCTGTGCCCCCCTCACCCAGCCTGGCGCCTCTGTGTCTGGACACGCACAAAGTTCTTGTGGGAACGAGCTTGCTTCCCCTGTACCCTCTGACATCGGAGACTTCAGGGCACCGTCCTCTGCTCACTTCCGCCCTATAAAAATTCCTAAAGTTCACTTGTCCAGCGATGTTATCTTTACTGTTTTATATACATGAGGTGCGTGGTGTGACTCAGTGTGTGCGTCTATAAATATTTCTTTGCAGGAGAAAGGAAGTGTGTGTCTGGCTAATCTATATTAAACCAGAAGGCTCTAAATCTCTTTTAAAAAATTTAAACATTTCATTTAGAAATAATTTTCAATTTACAGAAGAGTTGCAAAGATATCGCAGAGAGCTCCCCGTATACCCTTCACCCAACTTCCCCGGTGTTAGCATCTTACTTCACCACGACAGGATGATCAAAACTAAGAAAATAATGTTGGGGCGAGAAGGTTAATTAAAAGGCACACTTCATTCGGATTTCCCGTGTTCCCACGAGTGTCTTTTTTCTGTCCCAGGACTGACTCTCGGACATCACATTAGGTCAAGTAACACTGTCTCCTCAGTCTCATCCATCTGTCACGGTTCCTCTGTCCCTCCTTTTCTTGCACGACCTTGGTGCTTTTGAAAAGAGTGGGTCAGGTATTCTGTAGACCGCTCCTCAGTGGGGGCTTGTCTGATAGTTCTCACAATTCCTGTTGTTTGTTGCCGTCAACTCAGCTCCAGCTCGTGGCAACTGTTATGGATTGAATCATGTCCTCCAAAAATCCAAACCCAAATCCAAACCCATTGCTGTCGAGTTGATTCCAACTCAAAATCTTAATCCCTACTAGACCTGTAGATACAATCCCATTGGGGAATAGGGTTTTCTTCCTTATGTTAAGAGGCCGTATCAGGGTAAGGTAAGTCTTAAAACAATCACTTTTAAGATAGAAAAGGAGCAGATGAGGCACAGAAGCAAGGAAGCAGGAATGGGGGAAAGGTGGAGCTCTCTAAGGAATGCAGAGAAAAGCATTAGAGCTGAGACAAGGATCTTCCCCCACAGAAGACACAGAGAATCCTCCCTTGGAGCCGGCGCCCTGAATTCAGACTTGTAGCCTCCTAACTGGGAGAAAATCAATTTCTGGCCTTTAAAACCACCCACTTGAGGTATTTCTGTTACAACAGCACTAAGAAACCAAACATGGACCTTATGTATAACAGAAGGAACGTGATTAGGGTGGGGTGATGGACTTTTTGGAAAAAGACCACACGGACGAAGTATCTTCTTCTCAAATCATATCGGGGATAACTGGCTCCCAAGCAGACGGATGCAGTGCTGGAAGTGCTCACTCATCTATACCAAGACATTTGGAAGGCAGCTACCTGGCCAACCAACTGGAAGAGATCCATATTTATGCCTGTTCCCACACAGCTTATCACTGGTGATGTGAACTCGGATCTACTTGGTTAAAACAGTGTCTCCCAGGTTACTCCACTGTAAAGTTAGCATTTTTTTCTTGCCGTTAGAAGCAACTCACTAAGTCCAGCCCACACTCAAGAGGAGAGAAATGAAACTCCACCTCCCAGAGCGAGGGATAGAAAAGAATTTGTGGACATATGTGAAAACCCTCACAATAATTAATGAAGACCATGGGGAGATGCGTTGAGTCTATGAAAATATTCTGTTTTTCCTTAAAGCTCTGCTCACCATTTTCAGCATTTGCCCATGGATCTTGGCTGTGGTAATTGTACTGTGACGTACTAATGGTGCTTTTCTATTTTCCTCATATATTTATTACTTGGAATTCTTCTGTAAAGAAGATTTTTCCCTTCTCCCCATTTGTGTGTTTATTCAATCACTTATTTATATCAGTATGGGTGGTTGTCTTGGAAGAAGTACAACCAGAATGCTCCTTAGAAGGAAGGATGGCGAAACTATGTCTTACATACTTTGGACATGTTGTCAGGAGGGATCAGTCCCTGGAGAAGGACATCATGCTTGGTAAAGTACAGGGTCAGACAAAAAGAGGAAGACTCTCAACAAGATGGATTGACACAGTGGCTGCAACAAGGGGCTCAAGCATGACAATGATTGTGAGGATGGCGCAGGACTGGGCAGTGTTTTGTTCTGTGGTGCATAGGGTCACTATGAGTCACAACTGACTTGACACACCTAACAACAACAACATGGATGGATGAACATTTATTCTGTTCTCTGGGTTGTGATCCAGTGGAGCCCTGGTGGTGCAGTGGTTAAGAGCTGGGCTGGGAATCAGACGGTCAGCAGTTTGAATCCACTAGCGGCTTCTTAGAAACCATATGGGGCAGTTCTGCTCTGTCCTATAAGGTTGCTATGAGTTGGAATTGACTGGATAGCAATGCATTTGTTTGTTTTGGGGTATTGTCCATACTATCATTATTTGGTTTGCGACTCAGACTGTCTGTGCTTTGGCCATTGTGAACTCTTTCAGTTTGGCTACTGGGTCGCTCTGACATGCCTTATCCTTTTTTTTTTTTTTTCTTTCTTTTTTAGCACTTCCTTCTATAGCCCTTTGAATCAGCCATTTTCCCAGCACGCCGTGGTTTCTTTTATTGCAGACTGGCATTTAGAGAGCAGGATCTGGGCACTAGATGTGCTCATTGCTATTGAGGTATCACTGCTTCTAGGCCTTCTAAGCAGAAGGATCTAGGAAATATATGTATGTGTCCTAACACATGTATACGTTGAAAAA